TCTATCTATCTATCTATCTATCTATCTATCTATCTATCTATCTATCTGTCTATCTATCCATTTATTTATTTACTTTATATCTCAGTTGTAGCCTCTCTCTTCCTCTCCTCCTAGTTCCACCCTCCCTCTTTTTCCTCCATCCCCTTCCCCTACTCCTCAGAAAACAGGAGCCCCCATCAACCCACCTGAGTGTATCAAATCGCATCATAGCTGAGTACATCCTCTTTCCCTGTGGCCTGTCGAGGCAGCCCTGCCAGGGGGAGGTGATCAAAAGAGAGGGAACAGGGTAGGAGAAGGAGTACAGAGATAAATAAGGATAGATGTCAGACCTGTGAAGAGTGGGGCTATGAGGACAGAGGTCTTGCAGAGTAAAAAAAACTGGTTGGGGACATCTCGGTGATAAGCTGAAGACCTACGACAGGGTAGGTTCCTGAGAGGCTATGGGGGTGACTCTAGATGAGAATCCGAGTAGCAGGGGTCATGAAGACAGAAGAGGCCGTACTTTAACTAGACAGAACTCCTAGTAGTGGAGGGGAACACTAATGCACCCACAAAAACTTTATGGGTGGGAGAGAGCCAAACCCTCACACTATTAATGATACTCTGCTGTGCTTGCAGACAGGAGCCTAGCATAGCTGTCGCCTCTGAGGTGCCACCCGGCAGCAGATCAAAACAGATGCTGAATGCCAGCATTTAAATAGTTGAGAAATGGAAGAATGATGTCACATCATTATGTACTCACTACCACTATCTCTTCCTACACTGCTCACGCCGTATGGGCAGACACTGTGCCGGCCTTACTCACTTCTGAATGTCTAAAGCCTCAGATCAATATGTGGTGGGAATTCAGTCAACTAGCTGTGTGAATGAACGAACCATAAACATGCGTTCAAATACCTCCTTTATTTTTTGCCATTAGAGACAAAGTCTCACTATTTAGTATTGGTTAGCATAGACCTCATTTTGTAGACTATGCTGGCCTCCAACCCATGGAAGTCTGCCTTCCTGTCTCTAGGGTGCTTGGAGTAAAGGTATGTGCCACCGTGCCCACCTCATGATGCTTCTTTAACATTTGGTCTTTATTTAAAAAGTTTCTTACACAATGAAATATTTGGATTATAAAATATAATGGATAAAAATTATAAGAAGACGTGAAAAATATTTTTGAATGAATATTTTCAGACTTTTTTTTCAGACTAACTTTGAAACTTGTTTTTTAAATTTAAAAAATGGTAAATAAAAATCAGCTTAATGCAATATTTAAAATTCAACTTTTCATCCTTTTGGCATAATATTTGGAATTATCCTTGACCATGTGGCTTTGATTGGCCCCATTAATATGACTTATGTCCCAACTATATTAAAGTAGTTTGAGGGTATAATATAGAAATATTCATATTTTTATAACGAATATCAGCTGTCAAGATTTTATTCAAAACATGGTGTGAGCTTTGTGGTTAGTAGATTTTTATTGTTTAAAATTCCAATTTGAAAATTGTAGGTATTAAAGAATATTTCTAAGCATAATAGGAAATGATATATTCTTGGTTCAAAAGTTACTGTTAAACAAAGTAACTTATTATAAAATGCCTGACTGATCAGAAACACAGAAAGTAAATATACATAATTCCTCTAGCCAGTGCTAATATAAATGCTTTGTTGGATAATAGGAACACATAAAGCGTGCTGTTGTTTAGGTGTTATGGGGGAAGATAAGTTTCTTGATAAGGTAGAAATACATTTGAATTTAATATCATGAGTTTTAATTTGGCCATTTCTTTAGAAACAGTATCAGTACTCGGCTGTATGGCCATGTACCTGGAGAATAAATTTCTGTTCAATGTTTCATGTCTTTTTGGCTTTCTAATTGTAACATCTCTGTTACTGTTTGCTTAGCTTTTGTGCCTATGTGACTTTAAGGGTGTGTTTTCATCCCATATTTTTCTCCAGGCGTCCACAAGGACAAAGATAAGCCTCCCAGCTTCTCTGTTGTCCTTGAGACTCTGAGGCGGACCTTGACAGATTACCAGAACAAGCTGGAAGATGCATCTAATGAGGTAACACGTGGGCTGTTTGGCTCCACACACGGCCTTCGGGCTGTACCAGTATGCAGCCCTTGCTTGTTACAAAGGTCAAAAAGATTGGGGATGTTGAATTGACAGCTTCACAGACACAGAAATAATAAACCACTTGTCACTGTTCTTTCTTCAAGTGTGGCCTAAAGTAGTGTCTCACTCTCATTTTGTGATTCTTCAGATGAACAATGAAAGGATCCTGTCACTTCTTGGCCTGAGTAACTTTCTGTGCAAGGAATTTAAGTGAAATGTGCTTTGTTTAATGCCAGCTTGTTTCTGATCTGTGGGCAGCTGTTAGAATTTAGGTTTCATCAAGAGTTTAAGGGTTTGTAAACCACAGAAATCTTAATAAAAAAGGGAAATTAATTTTCGTGCTCTAGAGGGAGTTAAGTGTTGTCAGAGTTTTTAAAAACAAATGTCTGTTTGATGTAGACTGGAAGCTGTTAATTTGCAGATTAAAAAGGCTCATGCTTCTGTCTGTCATCTCATTTGTATTGTTTAATGTGTGAGTTAATAATTTTCTTGGGTATTAAAATATTTTATGAATTCATGCTTTAAAAATTGAAGAGTTTGTCTAGTTATTTCTTGTCCAATTAGCATATGTAATAGTTACATTAGTTAGCAAAACAACTGAACTTGTCATAGCCATAGACAAGTCACATAGCTTAGAGTTCATCTCTTTGTTTTATGTAATTCTAAACCTGCAGACTCATTTTGTGTACTATATTGGGAGAGGCTTATTTAATATTATGTGTGCAGGGTGGATATAGAAGGATGAGTCTTTTCTAAACATCTTCTATAACTGTTCAGAAAAAAGTAACCATTAAAATATTTAAATTCTTTGAAGATCAGACATTGCTGAGTCTTTCCTCACAAGACAAGACAAGGTGGATTGTTAGTAGTTTTGAAGTTCTTCTGAGGCCTAGGCCTGGAAGCTGCCGAGTAACTAGGAACACATTACCTACAGCGAATTGTTATTTAGGAGGATGAATGTCACATGATCCTCAGCACAGTTGAAAAGTCGACTCAGCAGGCTTTGGCTTAGTAATGTGCTTTGTTGTGAACCAGTGCCAGAGACAGCAGTGGGGAGACCAAAGGGGTGGGCGCAAAGAAAGCAAAAAGAGCAGCCTGACAGAAAGAAGAATGAACTGTCAAAGAAAATAAATCACAGGCGGTGCAGGACCAACTGATGACCTGCCACAGTCTTCCCAGTAGGACTGTGTGTGACTGACCCCGAAGCTGTCATGCGGAGTGAGGGACCCGTGAATACCCTCTTGATGTAAAGCCAGTCTTCTGCGCTGTTCTCTCTTCTTCCCTTGTAGATACCACTGCTTTTGGCATTTGGTCCAGTAGGATTTTAAGAATAAAGCTGTGTTTACAGTAAGAATGAAATCCGTTATCTAGATAGTGTGCAAAATAAGAGCATCTTTGGCGTTTTAAGGCTGAATGTGCTCTTTTCAGCCAGGTGAGCGTGTGACAGAAGCTGCATAGCCTTTAACCAAAAGACGTGTTGCGCCTAAGAATCAATCACTGTTGAAATATTTATGCCTAAGTAATTGCATAGCAAGCATTTGAAAGTTAGCTTTTGAGGCACTCCTTCTTGCAGAAATGTCAAAAAGCTATTTTTCTTTCATCAGCTAAACAACATAAATGATGCCAAGGAAAAGACATCCAATGAACTTGATTCCACCAAACAAAAAATTGAATCTCACATTAAAAATATAAAGGTATTGCAATTTAAGATAACTTTTTGCTTTTATTAAGAGACAGTAAGGGGATTGTTTTAGAGATACCTAATAATAAAGCTTCTATTTTCAAGATATTGTGGATGCGTATTTACATTTTTTTTGTTCTTCAAACTGTTTTGGTTAAATAAAAAAATAATTTAACATAATTTTAATATTACAGACTAAAATGCATTGATATGTAATATCCTGCCTTAGAATAAATACTGAACACATTTCACATAAGCATATGTGATGGTAGGGTCAGTTTCTGTCATTTTTGGGTGGAGCCATTGTTTTTAGTACATCTTGTCTGGTTAATGGGCTGAGACCACAGTTGGCCAAGGCTCAAAAAATATTTATTTTCTGTGTTAGTTTTAGCTACAATGTTGCAAATTTGAGTTTCTCAATATTTGTTGGGATGCTGTAGTATTGGTTTTGTTGCTGAGTTTAGAGTGGACCATTTGATAACATAGTTTAGTAGAATTTTAGGTCTCATTCTTGAGCTTTCTGTTAGTAATTGGAATGTCATTGGAGAGTAAATGTCCATTATATTAAATGTAATATAACTTACATTATATTAAATGTCAAGAGATTTATGGTTTTTCATTTTACTGAAGTATTATTAAGGTTTTTTTTAAAACTACTCCTTTAAAATAATGAGTTAAAAAACCCATTTTAAATAACTTTTTGAAATATGCAGTTAAAAATTTATGTATGCTTAAACACTACAAATTTTCTCATTTTTGAATGAAAGTGTTCTACTTGGAAAAAACCCATTTATTTAAATACCCTAAATATTTAGCTACATAAGCAAATGGCAATTATTTCATGCTAATGTTTTGAAGGTTTTCAGCATTTTGTGTGCCTCTCACCTTCTGCTATCCCTCTAGTCTCTTGCTTGGTGTTTCTGATAGGAACTTCAGGATAAGCTGGCTGAGGTCCATAAAGAGCTAAGTCACTTACGCACTAAGTGTGCCGACCGAGAGGCCCTCATAACCACGCTGAAGGTGGAACTGCAGAATGTGTTGCACTGCTGGGAGAAGGAGAAGGCCCGGGCAGCTCAGTGTGACAGTGAGCTGCAGAAGCTGTCCCAGGCCTTCCGGAAGGACACCGAGGTATTCCCCTCCCTAGACCTTTCATGAACTGCAGCAGTGTAGATTACATGCACCAACGGCCAGGGTTACTCACATTTGATTTAATTTAAAGAATGTTCTGAGTGTCACACTTTGAAATGTTCCTCACAGCTGCAAAATCACTTCCTTCATTCTGTTTTCTTGTTCTAATTTGTGAAAAACAAAAGTGACCTAGTTCAACCCTTGTCACTTGGACCATCAACTTTCTTACCCTGCTTGCATCTGTCATATCTCACGATGTCACATTCTTTACTGTCTTGTCAGGGTTGGCCAGTTTGCCAGTTAACGACATCATTTTTTATTAGAGTCGTCCTACAGCTAGGCTTGATGAAAAGAATACTTCTTTTTGGTAGCTGAATAGATTTGGACTGTTTTTTCTGTTCACACAGAGCATGGCTGTGGACAAGCCATGTAGGCTTGTCACCCCACATTTCAATTTCCTTAATGGTAAAACAAGAATAATATCTCCAGACAGTCTCTTTTTCCTTACTGTGAGATATTCATGAAAATTGGAAAAAAGAGTTTCACAAAATTAAAACTGTAATTTGGATGCTCTGGATACCTATCTATCAATTTTTATTTATTAGTAATATATTGAACTTATTTTTGAGATTTATTTATTGTTATTTTATGCCTGTGGGTGTTTTGCCTACATATATGTCTGTGTACCATGTGGATGTCTGGTGGTTAGGGAGGCCAGAAGAGGGTACTGGAACTGGAGTTATAGACAGTTGTGAGGCCCATGAGGGTGCTGGGACATGGACCTGGGTCCCCAGCAAGAACAGTCAGTGCTCTTAACTGCTGAGCTGTCTCATCTGTCCTATTAATGACTTTTTAAAATATGACAAAATTCCATATTCTGTGTGAGCTTGTTCTCTGTATAGTTTTCTTTTACTTCTGGAATATAGAGCTCCAGCAGTTGGTGGGTTCGTTTATCTAAATTCCTGCATGTTGAATTCATTATTTCAACAAATAGAACTCCAATGCCAAGAGAATAAAAAGGAGACATTCTTTCCAGCCTTAGAGTCTGGGGTTTCAATTGTGTCCACATAAAGGGGTTGGAAATGTTCTATATAGCAGATAATGATGAAAGGAAAGGAAACTAGAAGGCTGACTGTATTGGAAAGTCAGTGTCTAGAGTGCTGTGGTTGGGTTCAACATGTGTGAAGTGATTTTGGATCTTGGGATGATCTTTTCATGCCAAATGGATGACTGCCGTGGCTGGCTTATCATAGCCCAGGCTCTTCGAGCAGAGCTGTGATGGTTAGTAAAATGTGGAGGATTTTAGGGTCTGAATAGTACACTTGTGTAATTGCACTTAGATCTTTTTACATTTCAACCCACTTCAAAGAGGAGAAGTCATCTCTTACTATTTATGAAGGAACAATGGATAGTATATTTGTAGCAGCAGTTTTTTACTTTCTTTTCTTTTTTCTTCTTTCTCTCTTCGTTCCTTCCCTCCTTCCTTCCTTCCTTCCTTCCTTCCTTCCTTCCTTCCTTCCTTCCTTCCTTCCTTCCTTTCTTTCTTTCTTTCTTTCTTTCTTTCTTTCTTTCTTTCTTTCTTCCCTTCTTCTTTTCTTTCTTTCTTCTATTTTGCATTTTGAGACAGGGTCTTTTTACAGAGCCCTGGCTATTCTGCACCTCACTCTATAGACCAGGATGGCCTCAGAGTCACAGAGATCCTCCTGCCTCTGCCTCCTAAGTGCTCAGAGTAAAGGTGTGCTCCACCATAACCAGCAGGTTTTTATTTCTTGATTTAGTTTTTTTTTTTGGGGGGGGGTAGCTATATTTATTTGCTTAATTTTTATTTTTTAATTACTTTATCTGAAAAAGTGAGATAGTAAACAGCTCAATTAGTGTTATCTACTTTGAAAATTTCAGAAAATGGCTGTTATGATTTTCAATAACAAGACTTTTAAAATACTATATTTAATTAAAAAAATTAAATTTTGATTTTCATTTTTCTCCTAATTTTTCCTCTTAAGTTTTTCCCTGCTGATATACTGTGATATGTTGAGGGAGCTGATCTAACCCATATAAAGTGCTCCTTTTCAGTGCAGTTATTCGCAATTACTTCATCTTTTGAGGTCCATGTTTTGAGACGAAGTATCTAAAAGAGGGCCATCATTTTATTAGCTAAATCCTGCAAATGTGATCAAGATAAGTGAGGGTTATACTGGATTCTAGAACAAAATAAATATCTTTAGGCTGTTCAGCATTGGATAGTTAGTGATTGTAATGACAGTATGCTTTTGCAGGGTTTGTCAAGCATAGTTGTAATTGGACAGTTTTGAAAATGTGTCTTGGACAGCATGTCCCCTTTAAATTGCTCTGTTACTTTGCAATACTTAAACACCCACAGATGCCCAGTGTGCCCAATACAATATAAACCTCTAAGTGGGGAAAACAAATGAGCTCTTCTTCCATATCTTTCATATACTGTGTGTGTTGCCTAAGGGGGTCGGGATAGATTTCCTGTAAGTGGTAAGTGGAGTTGAACCTCTTAGGGAGGAAGAAAGCTGCGTGATTGCACACATGTGAAGTACAGATATTGATACACTTTGCCTTTCGTGAGAATGGAGTAACACTCTTATCTCGATGCCATTTATGACGTCACATCTGTTTTTAAAAATATAAGTAGGAAGTTATAGAATTACCATATTGGCTTCAAATTACAGGTTCTTGTAAAAAATTAACCCAGATGCCTTGTGTTAGAGATAATAAAACTTAGACCTAAACAGGTGCTCACATGGCCAGCAGTAGCAAGCTGGATCACTGACCAGGTCTTCTGGCATCTAATTACAGCAGGGATTTGAAACCAGTCTAAGTACCACCCAGTATTTTATCTATTGCTTGTTTCGGAATGCAAGGAAAAGGGCCATCCAAATGATAATAGCTGAAACTCGAGTAAATACTTCTAGATTAAAAAAAATTCCTTACTATTTGAATTAGATATTTTATTTCCTACAGTATTTGTATGCAGGAGTTAATGAGTTATTTTCTTGCAGGAGAAGCTAACCTTCCTTCACACCTTGTATCAGCACTTGGTAGCAGGCTATGTGCTCCTAAAACAACCAGAAGGCATGTTGGATAAATTCTCTTGGTCTGAGCTCTGTGCAGTCTTGCAGGAGAATGTTGATGCCCTCATTGCAGACCTCAACAGGGCTAATGAGAAGGTAACTGTCCTCAGGCACCAGCTACCTCTATTAAATTCAGTGACATTTGTCCACATCACAGTATCATTAAGAGAGGCTGACATTCATCTTATTTCAAAAAGAATTTGGATGTTAATAATTCAGTACCATTAATTATGGCTTGTCTACAACTCAGTTTGATGCCATTGCTGTGGGCATGTAAATGTGACTGAAGTCTGTATGAAGTCTCTAAGCTCCACTTTCTGTGCAGGACATGCTAATACTACTAGCCAGTATTAGCCACAGGGACCTAATTAAGAGAAAATAAATTAATCTTACTGATGAAGCAATTCAAAGAACTTAGTCATTTACATTAATAAACCAACTCTTTATGTTAGCATAAAATAGAAACAGGATGTAGTTATTCAAAAACATCATCTTAAAAGTCTTTGCTTAGGAAATATGAAATGTTGTTTTAAAAGTACTTAGAAAAATTTAAATTACATTTTGACTTTTTTTTTTCAGCTGTCACAAACTATGTGAGAAAGCACAGCCTATACTTTAGAAGGGGAAATGTGTATTTTATAGATTAAAACAGTAGATTTTATGGTTACTTTACCATTCTATAAGCCTAGGAATTCAGTCTTTCTCAAACAGAAAAACAAAATGCTCTTGCTATAGAAAGTTAGGAAGTATATCAGGTTGTATATGTATGTTGCCATTTAAGATACTATTACTTACCCTGGGGCTGTTGAATTTACCATTACTGTGATTGTAACAAATTGTGGTATAAAGTCTAGATTTTAGTTACAATGACATTTGCTGTTAAAGGACCAGAAAAGTTTTTTTTAAAAAAAAAAAAAACACACATATGCTGTATTAACAAAAATAGTCCAACTTCAAGGTGAAATCTTGTATTATTGAGCATTTTATCTTTAGCATATTGAGAGTATAACCAAAGGCACTGTGAATTAGCCTGGTTAATGGGGAAGTAAACTGTGAGGAACAGATGCTGCTGTGACTGTGAGTAAGTATACAATGGGTTAAAACAGACTGATAATTAACTTAACTAAATTAAATATGTGCTTTGCCTCTTAGATGATGTTTTTAATAATTGCGCATAGCTTCAAAACATAAATTGACATGCATGTTAGAAGATAAGGATTTTCTTTTTAGTGTTTATTAAAAGGAAAACTGGGAGTGATGTTCTGCATTAGTATATATAAAATGTTTGTGCATTTGTAAATCTCATTTAAATTTTTTTTTTCTCATTGAGACACCTGAAATAGCTTGATCTTCAGTTCTAGAGATAAGAATAATTTTCAAAATTGTCTCTGTAAAATTGGCTACAGAAAAAGCTACTTTATTAGGAGGAAAAATAAAAAGTCATTGTTTATATATAAAAACGATACTGTTTTCTTCTAAACTGTCTAATTTACCTCCATAATTTCTGGTTCTTACTTTGTTTATATCATAATATTATGATCTTAGGGATAAAATGTAGTGGAGAATGTAGGTATTTTTCTTGAGTGAGTGATCTGCAGATGTGATGTCATGTCTCAATGTGTATTTCATTTCCATCTATAGATAAGTCACCTGGAGTATATCTGTAAAAACAAGTCTGATACAATGAGAGAGCTTCAACAGACCCAGGAAGACACCTTCAACAAAGTGGCAGAACAGATCAAGGCCCAAGAGAGCTGTTGGCACACACAGAAGAAGGAGCTGGAGTTCCAGTATTCTGAACTTCTCCGGGAAGTGCAGAGGAGGGCACAGGTATGCTATGCTATGGGGAGCTAGTCCATACCTGGGAGGAGCCAGGTGAATCCCATTGAAACACTGCTTGATCAGTCTCCAAGTAGGTTCCATAGTAAGGGGAACAGGGGCTGTCTCTGACATGAACTTAGTGGCTGGCTCTTTGATCACCTCCCCCTGAGGGTGGTGCAGCCTTACAAGCCTTACAGAGGAAGATAATGCAGACAGTCCTGATGAGACCTGATAGGCTAGTGTCAGATAGAAGGGGAGGAGGACCTCCTCTATCAGTGGACTTGGAGAGGGGCAGGGAGGAGATGAGGGAGGGAGGGTGGGGTTAGAGGGAATGAGGGAAGGGTCTACAGCTGGGATACAAAGTGAATAAACTGTAATTAATATAAAAAAATTAAAAAAAATCAAACAAAACACTTGAAATTCCCAAGGAATTAATAAAAACATTTCGAAAAAGGGCTGCTTTGTTTAACTATTTCCACTTTTTTTCTTTCCTCTTTTTGGACAGGGTCTCACTATGAATCCTTGGCTGGCCTGAAACTTACAGAGATCCTCTTACCTCTGCCTCCCAAGTACTGGGATTAAATGTGTGCACCACCATGCTTGAAATGTTTTCTTTTTGCATCAGCTCTCAGTCAGTTTAAATATTCTTGAAGACCGCATAGAACTTGCTTATGATTATGCAAGTACATATTAGTTATTGTGCTGCTTCTTCTAGGCAGGGATGACAGCAGCAATATAGAAGTGGCAATAATGTGTATGGAGAAAATAGCTTAGCTACCCAGATCTTCTGTGCCCATCAAATCTAGCATAGAAGAGAAAGTGTATCTCACAATCACTTTACAGTAGGACCTGACATTGAAGTTTTAGTTCTTGCATAATGTTAGAAGGTGTCACTTGTTTCATTGCTGTGACAGAGGACCTGTATCTATTTCTGTGTGTTTGTCTGTTTTAAGGGTTATCTTTTATTTGAGTTTGAAGATGTTTTTGTTTTTTTTTTGTCAAAACTCTAATCTTTTTGGTTAAATGATGAAATTAAATGTCTTTTATTTATTTTTAAAACAAAGCATTAGAAGGTCTGGTAAGATATTGCCAGTGTAAATATCCTTTCATGTAGCTTATTTCATTTGGGGGGCTTCAGATGAACTATCACTTAAGCTCATTTGGGGTTAAAATGTATTATACTGACTTAGGGGTTAGATATGAAATTCTTCCATGATTTGAGAGTTTACTTGCATTCCTTTGCATTCCAACCTAACATTAATTTTCTGTTGTACTGTATGACTAAAATGCGCTTATAAGTCAGTATGTACCATGTGTCTTTCTGGGTCTGTGATATATCACTCAGGATGATCTTTTCTAGTTCCATCTATTTGCCTGCAAATTTCATGATACTTTTTTTTTTTTAAAGTGGCTGAGTAGTATTTCATTGTGTAAATATATCACAGTTTCTTTATCCATTCTTTAGATGAGAGACATCTAAGTTGTTTCTAATTTCTGGCTGTTTTGAATAAAGCTGCTATGAACATGGTTGAAAAAAGTCCTTGTTGTATGGTGGGGCATCTTTAGGCTGTATGCTCAGGAGTGGTATAGCTGAGTCTTGAGGTAGGCCTATTCCCAGTTTTCTGAGAAAGCACCAGATTGATTTCCAGAGTGGATGTACAGTTTGCACTCCAAACAGCAATGGAGGAGTGCTCCCCTTTCTCCACGTCCTTGCCAGCATGTATTGTTACTTGAGTTTTCATATAGTACAGGATAGACATACTACAGTGCACAGACCCCCAGGAAGATAAGTCCAATGGATATCTTAGGCTTCATGTCAACCTACTAGTTAGGGAAGTGGGTTAGGAAGTCTGTATCTCTGACACAGACTTTGTTGCCTGCTTTTTGATTACTTTCCCCTGATGGGACTGCCCTACAAGTACCTAGGGGAGGAAGACAACTCAGTCCTCATGTGAATAGATGAGGTGGCAGTGTTTGGGTAGTGGGGGCTCCTCCATTCTAAGGAATAGGGAAGAAGGGATGCAGGAGAAAGGGTGGAACTGGTAGGAGATGAGGGAGGGACATATGACTTTGATGTAAGTTGAATCAATTGATGAAAAATAAAGAATAAAATCTGTGTTGTATGTGATCGCATTGTTGGGAGATGATGAAAATTAGGAGGTGGGGCCTGGCTGGAGGAGGTGGGCTACATCGAGTATTGCTGCAAAGGTGTGTCTGGGCCTTTTCCTTCTCCCTCTTTGCTTCCTGTTCACCATGAGGGAGCTGCTTAGCCTTCCCATCCCTGCTGCACATCGTTGTTCTGTTCATTAGTGACAGAGCCTCAAGATCATGGACTAGAGTAAATCCTTCCTGCTTTATACTTCCTCAGAGGTTTTGTAATAATGGTAAAAAATCTCATATATCTACTAATATGAGATGTAGAATTATAGTTAAAATAATTCCAAGATGTTAGCTTTGCTTAAGAATAGAAATTATAGGCCCTAAGTGAACTTAGGCATTTCTATGTGGATTTGAATTAGTCAATAAACATTTTCTGGAAACAGCCACTTTTGTTCATTGCATGCAGGCAATATGCTGTATTTACATTTTCAGACTGAAGGAAAAGATCTAAGACAGTGGAGGGAGCTCACAAGTGCACAGTTTGAAGGCAGGATGTCTTCATGTAGCCCAGATTCACAAGCCTCCTGCATCAGCCTTCTTAGTGCTGCTCTTACAAGTGTGCCCCTCCAAGCACTGCCAGTTTGGTTTTTGGTTAATGTAAGGACTCATGTACTATTACTCTATCAAGGCTCCAAACATTTCCACTGTACCAGAGCACTCTATGACCTCTGCCAGTCATTTTTCACTTTGCGTGGGCAGCTATCATTTCTGGTCAATTTCACAAGTTCTTGAATGTTGTGCAAATGGAGTCATTTAATATTTACTCATAGGGAGTTGGCTTAATTCACTCAGTGTTGATATAGAACATATTACTTTTGTTATTATCTATCAGTAGTATATTATTCTTTATGGCTTAATAATGTTCTACTTTATAGCCACATCACAATTTGATTGAAAATGGGTAGATAAATATTTGGTTTATTTCCAGTTTGGGGCTATTTTCAATGAACTTTATGCAAAAACTATTGTACAAGGGTATAAATCCTTAGGAATCTAATGTCTGTGTTATATGCTAAATGAATATTTAAGAAAACATTAAATTGTTTTCCAAAGGGGCCATGTCATCTTTTTAAAAATTCTTCTTAGTCTAACAGATCTGTATTTTTATCTGCATCTGTATATCTCACAGGCTTGCAGTTCACTTTTGGTGAGTGAGTGCGGGCTTAGGACATCACAAACGCTGACGGCAAAGTGTCTAGGAGAAGCTCTCCTTGACTTCTCTCCAAGGGACTTGTCACACCTTAGCTTTGGTGCGGGGTCTGCAGATTAGAGCTCACTTTTCATCATTTCTGCACATAATTCAGTATTACAGAGTGCCGTATGGCTTTTATTATGTTCATGTTCGCATCTTCCTCAAGTATAATTGAGTATGCAGAGGTACACACTTTGGCTTCATATTGAGTTCAGTATTATTGTGATCCATGTTATCTGATCTATTGAATTTTATTTTAGAAAAAATTGTTAGAATCAGTTCTATAGAGTTGGTCATCCTTAAAGCTAAGTGCAAATAAGATATACTTATTTTGTATCACTTAATAAATTTTCCAAGATTATGTTTATAAAAACATGGGTGGGGCACAGTCATTGCCCAGGACTGTGGTGGTAGGACACTGGAGATGTCAGATGGAAATAACCATTAGTAGAGGGGATTCGTAGGAAACAAAATCCTGATTCATAACTTGTTTAATAGTTTGTTTTTATAATTGAGTGGTTAGTAATTAAACAATATTATAAGTTAAATTTATTTGAAAAGATGGTAGTGATGTATAGATATTGTTCAAGAAATGAAACCTGTGGATCTGGTAGCCCAGTTTTGATATCCCAGCATCTTTTTAATTTTAGGTGTTTTATGATAGCCATGTAGTAGAGGAATTCTTGAATTTAAACACATTTGAAGTACCCCACAATACATCTTAAGTGTTTGTTCTGCTGACTAATCTGGATAAAGTGTACACTCCAGTCTGTGGACTAATGTTACTTTGTAATCTCAGTATATATATCCTTTTTTTCCTTTTTGTCTGAAAATAATTCAATTAGTGGACCAAGAATGTCCACTCTAGAAGTAAAGATTTTTCATTCTTAGTTGAGTCAGGGTTGTAATGTTTATTTCTTAAGCTTTGACAGTTCTGTGAACTCACATGGGTTTAAAATGGAAAGAAAAATTGGTTCTGGTGAGGTGACTCAGTGTAACAATGTGTGCCTGTTGCCAAGCCTGACAACCTGAGCTCAACCGCCAGGACCCTGTGGTCTTCACACGCATGCTGTGGCACGTGTGCACACTAGTCCCACCCACACACAGATAAAGAAATAGAAGGTTAAAATTAGGGCGGAGTAAACAGTGAAAGAAACCGGGGTTTGTGGTTCTACATTACGTTTTTTCCCTCTCTTGCTATTAAGTCCATTTGAAAAACTTAGTCATAAAAAGGATTGTTAGACACTGAAACACTTTCTGCATATTTTTAAAAGTGTTCAGAGATGAAGTAGAACTTGTTTGTGTTGTTGGAAGAGATGTTCCTGAAGGTTTATGTGATGGCTGGAGGCACTGTGTTCTTTCTCTTGGAGTGATGATGCATGAGTGGGAAATTTATATTTTTATGTCAAGCCCGGGTACCACTGCTGGGTGATTGAAAGCCGTTTTTTCTTTTTCTTTCTTTTTTCTTTTTAACATAACTGTTATCATTAATGACAATGCTGTCAGTGGAATTTGCGTGTTGTGTGTTAGACTTGTTCTTAGTGCTTTTGCCCTTTTGTAAACTTCCTCTCCCTTAGAACCACAGCCATATGAGATAGGTAGGCTCTTTAACATCACCTCTATCTCACAACTGAGGAAACTATGATTCAGATAACTG